CCCTCCCTCCCTCCCTTCCCTCCCTCACCACCCCCGCCCCCCAACCCCCAAGCTCACCCAGCTTTCTTGGTTCCTCTTTCCCTCTGCCCCCCTCCCTGATCTTTCTTCATTGCTCAAAAATCCTCCTTTCTCCGCCCTCCTCTTTCCTCATTCCTTCTCAAACTTGACTCTTCTCGATTCGTTCTGATTTCTATCTGCCCTTGCTCCCCTCCTTACATTACCCCATCATCCTTGAACTATTTCCGTCCTTCTTCTGACCTTTCAGCTCTGGATTTGTCCCCTACTGCCCTGAACCCCATATTTCCCACCCCCCACCTCCCTCTCAGTAATCTCTCTTTCCCCCCCCCCTCTGTTACCAACCCCTCCTTCTCATGGATTCCTCCTCCTCCTTCCCTCCATTGCATTCTCATCCCTGATACACTCTCTATCTCTTCTCTCTTTTCCTCCCTCATTACCTCCACCCTTCTTGATTTTATCTCTTAGCCAACCCGCTCATCGGGTCAGTTGCTTAGAATCTTCGCCTCCTCTCCTGCTTGCTCTCCTGCTCTTTCGCGTCTCTGTACTCTCCTTCTGCTCCTTTCCATGTTGAGGAGCAGAGGTGTCAACGCCTTTCTGTCTTAAGTGCCCACACTGAACCTCGTATCATTGGAATGCGATCAGAAGCGAGAAGTGCACAAGAGTAGAGAGACAGTTGAAAGAGGAGGAGGTGTGAGCCCTTGAATTGACAAGTTTGCTCATCGCAGGTCTAGTAATGCATTTGGGCTCCGAAAGCTTGCAAGGGAAAGAAGCGCATTGAATAGTTGCAGGCATTATGGGGGCAGCCTGTTTTGGGATGGCAGGAGACATCGGGGCATTGGTGTGCCTTTCTTGTACAGCAGGGGCGACAGTTCTTGTCTCCGAATACCATCCAAAAGATCACTCGAGGGAAATTCAGAGGAACACAGCGCATGCGAGGAAAGTGAATGGAAGGAACGCGGGACAGAAGAAGAGGGAGGGAAAGCACCGTGATGATCTCTTCTTGCACAAGATGGAAAGCACTGAACGTCCACAACATAGACACCTGCTTGAAAAACAATTCTCAAACTCTTTGAACGTGACAGAATTTAGGCAACAGGCTCAGAAGAAGCCTCAGGTGCAACGGGGCGCTGATAACGACGGGTACATGTCGGATGGTGATGAGCGCAAAATTCAGGGGAGACAGGACATTGAGAGGGTACAAGAGAATGAAACGAGCTCGCAAGGCCCAGGGAACTTCAATTCGCTCATGAGGAGGATAAGAAAAAGCTTCATCCTTCATGACACCACGGATAAGGATGATGCAATCCACCAAGTCAAGATGATGTATGATGACAAGAAGCCAAGCAAACGCGATAAGACTTCCAACAGTCGACGACGTGGAAAAGAAACGATTGCAAGCGAGGCCAAGATTGCAAGCGATGCTACATCATACGTCGAGAACGCTGAGAAATCGACGAAAAGCCAGGCGTTCATTCATCGAAGAGGGAGTGGAGGATGGACAAACAGAGTTGGTGACGCGGAAATTGCCAAGCAATTAGATTTCCTCAGGTGATACTTGAGATTGATTCGAGAGATTGTTTGTTGATATGCTCCTTGCAGAGACTCGAAGCAAGAGTGGGAAATCAAACATCGAATCGGTTATGATCCTTCAGCCCCTGTACATAGCATTGCAAAAGCGATTCAATGAATATCTCAATCGAACGTGATGTAATTTCTCTCCTTCTTGGCGCCTTGTGGACTTTTCTTCGTCTCCATCTGACTTCGTCTCTTCGTCCATAGCTGCCCAAGTTCTTGCCAGCACGTTTAGGAGGGAGAGGAGAGGTTGCCAGTCACCTTGTAAGGAGTAACCCTTCCCCTTCATCTCAGTCCTGTGAACTCCTTTATGACCCGCATCATCCACTATGCCTGCCCTCTTACCTGAATGTAAACCAGTTCGTCGCTCCGTTGAACTCCTTGTTTTCCTGAGGTCCGCAGTTGTCAGCTGTGATGAGAAAGGTCCAAAGCGCACTCACAGGATCTGACTCCCTGACCAGATCTTGCAAATCCAGCTCCCACCTGCCTCGATTCAAACATTTCGCGCGCGCGCTCGTTCACTTGCCTCTTGTACATGAATGGACTTGCTACGCCGGCATCCCTGGCAACAGGAACATCTCACCCCATCCTCACCCTGCTCTGACGAGATGACCTGAACTGCTGATACAACTCCGCTGCAGCCAACTATCAGCAGCGCACGGGCTATGGAGGAATCCTACCTGCCTCCTTCCCAGTCGCCTTACCATTCTTGGCCAGTCTGCAGTAGCAGCATCAGCGCTTATCCTTGCCTCGCCGCTCCTCAACCCGGCGACGATGTCAAGCAGCCCCGCCCATGTAACGAGGTCCTGGAGTGAAGTCAGAGGGGAGGGGAGACCGCGGCAGTTGCCCTACAGGGATGAGCCCGGACTCCTCGCAAAGATGAAAGATCATCCTCCCGTCCTAGTCAAGTCTCAACTCCTCTCTTCCCACCCCATCGTCCGACCTCCAGACGGGCCCCGTTGTCACATCGTGCGCATCCAGCTGCCGTCTCCAGCAGAAGATTGAACATCTCCAAGTCGAGCTGGAGCTGGGAATTTGAGGAGGGAGGGAGGAGCAGGGCAGCAGCATACCTCGACCATCGGCTCCTTGCAGACAAGGTCTACGATAGCTAGCAGATCGTCTCTTGTCACTTCACCCTTAGAAGTGACGGGATAAGTCGTGGAAAGGGAGGACTTGAGTCACTTGTACCATCCAGGAGCGAGAGGCAACGACGTTCAAGTATTGCGTCAAGGTTTGCACGTCGGGTTGGCTGAGTTCTGATCATCGCGCGAAGAAACAAGGGGGAAGAGCCTCACTCTGGGTAAGATCGCAACATGTCGAAGATCCAGTCTGCCCTCCTACCGCAGTTCCATCAGCAGGAGCAAGTGCGAAGTCAATACTCACTCCTTAGACGCCCACTCGTATCCTATCCTCGAGCTCTTCTCCAGCATCTGTAGGGCGACCTTGAGTTCGTCTCCGCTCGGCATCTCCTTCTTGCTCAGTATCTGCTACTCTCGTCAGGTAGGAGCAGAGCCGTTGGCTCGACCTCAGTGAAGCTTGACTGCAACTGTTTGAACTGCCTCGGAATCTTGCACCAGATGTCAAGAACAAGAGATGGAGGAGCAGGAGAGGAGAAGTAGGAGAAGAGAAGTAGGAAAGAAGGCGAAGGGGAGGGAGGGGAAGGAGAAGCGTCAGCTTACTCGGGGAAGGACTTGCGACTGTATCCTCCTCCTCTCAGCGACCGACCTTCGTTTCTTGCAGAAATTCTCACGGCAGAGCGCGAGGCAAGGCGAAAGTTACCTTGACGTCTGCCATCATTTGCAGCGGAGCGAGAAAGCTGCAATGGCAGCCCTTGATGGCTGCGAGCAGAATTCAAGGCAAATCTTTTTGACGAGGGTGGAGTTGGCAAGAGCAGGAAGGAGCTGGAGCTGGAGCTGGAGCTGGAGCTGGAGCTGGAGAATGTGGTGATGTAGGAGGGTGGTTGTGTTGGAGGGAAACGCAGGCATGCATTACCTTGTCTGGGAGATAAAATCGCGGATCCAGCTCTCCCCAAGTCGGCGGATCCCAGCGCTGTCCAACCCCATAATCCCACTCCTCTTCCTGGGTTGGCAGCGTCCAACCAACCACCCATCCCCGCCCTTGTTGTTGTTGCTGCTGCTGCTCCTCCTCCTCCTCCTCCTCCTCCTCTCGCCTCTCCTCCTACTCCTCCTGCCATGCTCGCCACAGTCAACGCTATACTCACAAAGCCCACAGGCCGCATTTGCGACAGGGGAGCAGGGCAGCGTCTTGTATGACGAGTGGGCGAAGTCCTAATCGATATTCAGTGCCATCTCTCAGATATAGTAAGTTTTTGAGGCGGGCGTTTTTACTCTAATCTAAACAATTACTCACATACTGCTACAATTCATGCATCAAGAAAAGCATGTTAAAAGGACGAGAACCAAAGGAGCATGCGGAAGAACTCGCAGTCCTCCTCCTCCTCCTCCTCCTCCTCCTCCTCCTCCTCCTCCTCCTCCTCCTCCTCCTCCTCCTCCTCCTCCTCCTCCTCCTCCTCATCATCATCATCATCATCATCATCATCATCATCACGTCTCTCGCTAATTCCCCTTGCTCGCTCACGGCATGGCCGTCAGGTCGAAGAGGAGGACCGTCTGAGAATCATCCAGTCCCAGCCACCTGCAGCTGCCATGAGGGCGAGGGATGCGGGAAGACGGGAAAGAAAAGGGTGAGAGCATGAGGAGGAACGGAAGAGGAGAGAGGTGATCTCACTGGAACGTCGATGGAGCATACACCGACATGAACTTGTCGCTGTGGAGCTTGTTTGGCCAGACCATCTGCGCCAAGTCAGCCACGAAAGGTAATGAACTATGAACAGGAAGAGAAGGATGAGCAGGATGAGCAGGAGCAGGAGCAGGAGCAGGAGCAGGAGCAGGAGCAGGAGCAGGAGCAGGAGCAGGAGCAGGAGCAGGAGCAGGAGCAGGAGCAGGAGCAGGAGGGGCAGGAGGGGCAAGTACAATTTCCGAAGCTTCAAGGGCTGCTGGGAAGATGTGTGCGTATGGAGGAATCATAAGGTTGAGGGGGCGATAGTGCCCGCCGGCAGCAAGGAAGACATCCGAGTTGACGGGAGTGTGGTGCGAGGAGACCTGAGAGGAAGGTGGTTCAGAATCAGAGCACGCGATGTGAGACGTGCGGACTGGGGGAAGTCGAGAGTGTGAAGGAGGAAGCGAGGGGAGCAGAGGAGGGGGAGAGGAGGTGGAGGTAGAGAAGGGAGGGGCCCGGGAGGCGGCGGCGCGGGGGGGGGGGGTTGAAAGAGAGGGAAGGAGGAAGAGGGCGAGGAGGACGAGGAGGACGAGGAGGACGAGGAGGAGGAGGAGAAGAAGGATGAGAAGGAGGGACGCTGGGATGAAGGTAGGGAGGGGGGGTGAGGTGGGGGAAGAAAGAGGAGAGCAGAGGAGAAGAACGATACCAGCAAGTACTTGGAGCCGCTACGCTTTATGTTGTTGAGGATTGCCCAGGCATCCTCCATCGTCTGGTAGGCCAGGACGCCAAGACAGATCTGCAGACGGCGGGTGAGGAGGAGAGGAGGAGGAGAAGGTAGAAGAGACCACAAGGTCATGCTTTGCAGGAACCTCTCTTGCAACATTGCTCACAAGGAAATCGATGCTTGGTAGCCCTCTCTCTTCACCAGCTCCAGCTCCAGCTCCAGCTCCAGCTCCAGCTCCAGCTCCAGCTCCAGCTCCAGCAAGCTCCAGCTGCTCTCGCTGGAGTTTGCGGATGAGGACATCAGAGACGTCAACTCCGGTGTAGCGCAAGTCACGTAGGTTGCTTGCGTGGTGCAGCCAGGAGGGGAACCCGCACCCGACGTCGAGCACAGAGGAGATTCTGTGCTGCCTGATGGCGAGGAGGATGAGGCTGGTGATGCTGCTCTGGACGAGCTTGAGGTTTGAGAGGGAGAAAGGAGGACAAGACTGCAGCGTGTCGTCCCTCGTCGCCATGGTGGTCAAGTCAGTCAGGAAGTGGAGCGCGTCTGCGGTCCTCGCCTCTTCCATCCCGCACGTCCAGAAGTCCGCGTCCTCGTAGGTGCGGTCGAACAAGGCGGCGAGAGCGTCACCTCCCATGAGCTCGATGGGATCGGAGGGAGCATGGATAGCGCCGTCCGACATGGCCGAGCGGTGGAAACACTCTCTGCAGAAGCCAGCCTGTGCGGCGATGAGGAGGAGCACAGAGGAGATGGAGGAGGAGGGAGGGAGAGTCGGAAGGAAGAAGGGGAGGAGGAGTAGACCGGCAGGAGGAGCAGGAGCAGGAGCAGGAGCAGGAGCAGGAGCAGGAGCAGGTGGAAATGGGGGGAGTGGAGGAGGAGGAGTTGAAAGAGGAATGTGGTATTCCTACCACTTGATTTAGTTTGTCAATCTCAGCAAACCAGGTCACCGCATCTTCCCCCTCCTGATAGAAAATCTTGTAAACATGGGAACAACCAATAGGAGGAGAAATATCAAGCTGGAACGAGATGAAGGAAACGAGTAAAAGAGAAGACGAAGGAGGTGGAGGAGAGGGAAGCAGCAGGAGCAGCAGCAGGAGCAGCAGCAGGAGAAGGTAGAGCAGGAGGAGGAGGAAGAGGAAAAAGGAGGAGGAGGAGGAGGATAAGGACAAAGGAGTAGGAGCAGGAGAAGCAGGAGAAGGAGAAGGAGAAGGAGGAGGAGCAGCAGCAGCGACAGGGGCGTAAAGTCTTGCACCTCCTCTCCTGCGACGAGATTCACCCGTACATGATGCCATCGCATCGTTGAGGGGTCAGCGCGAATGTCGCAAATGAAGAATTCCTTGATGAGCTCGTGCGAGTACTCAGCAGGAGCAGGGGAGGATCCAGCGGGAGGACGAGAGGAGACAGGAGGAGAGGAGCTCTTGCTGCTATAAGACGCCAGGTGGTTGTACTCAAGGTCCATCTGCTCCTCGTAAGATGGTATCGAGCGATTTTCCTCCAGCTCCATGTCCCTTTCCCCACCATACCACAAACACACCACAAACACGAACTTTGGAAGCTATTCCTCCTCCTCCTGCCCCCTCCTCCCTCCTTTTCCTCTTCCTTTCCCCCTTCCTCCTCCTCCTCTCTC